AAATTTTCTTTACAATATTTTTTTTATTGGAAATAAAATGTAATATCATGTGTTAAGACTAGTCAGGAAATATGAGGAAGTTTCCAAAATGTCTCATTGCCAGCCATGAGATAATTCGAGTGGGATGGCAATTCTAGGAAACGGTCGCATCCTCTTCTAGAAACTGTCCCATTGTTTGCACAACACCTCAGGTATGCACGTGTTTCTGACATGGCAAACCTTATGTTGCCAAAGACCTCATTATATTTGAGATTAACTAAATTTATGGGGCGCCTACTTTGGAGTTTTCTAAAAAAGAAATATCGCTGTTTTACGTACGAAATTTGTAACGAAAATTCTAGATGCAGCCCATTATGCGCCGCGATAAATTGCGACAACGCGAAGCCACGTCCATTTGAAGACCTTACCATGTGCAAACCATCTGTACAGTACCGTCTAGACAATACAACAATGAGGGCTAGTCCGTCCTAAGCAACTTGAAGAAAAAATCGAATTCGATTGGCTGCAGCCAGTTACTAATTTTTCGAAAGGACGGCAAAGAAACAACGTCACCCTCTTGTCTTCAGGTAGTCTTGCAAGAATAGAGTCACGGTTCAGTTGGTGAGCCAAGATTCCGAGTGAAACTCCGAGGGAAACTCAACCAAAATAAACATACAATTTAGACAGAATGGAGAAAGAATGAAAATTTTGGGAGAAAGTTTCGTGGAATAATATAACAGAAAAAAGATCAGATCTGATATTATAGGAAAAAAGTCACATTTGACTTAAGATGTTTTAACGGACATCAATTAATTAACAAATTAATTTTTGTAAATCTTTCCAGTTAACTAAAAACCTTAATGTTGCAGATAGTTTTTTCTCTGCACTAGCTGCATCTCTCATAACTGTATTTCTTTTTTCAATTCTTGAACAGATAATAAAAATTCTTCTTGAACGGATAATACAAATTTCAATTCTCCTCTAACAGATAATAAAAAGCAGAGTCATCCATATACAATTAATTTCTATAATTACAAGGTTCAATTGTCTTTACCTCTTTTAATAATGCAAAATTGGAAAATATATTTCTCTGGATTATCCATCATTTTGCCCATTTCTTTTTAGTATTTAATTTCTTTCTATTTTTTGTAAGTGATAATAAACCTAATATTACTATCACTAATATTGGAACTGGAAGACGATCCGACATTTTAAAACACTTGTTTTAATTTTGGAGATCCAAAAGATTGTTCAATATTTTACTATTGTCAAAAAGTAAACGCCAAATATGTGGCAAATAAATTCTATTGTCCACATGGTCTTGCATTTGACACAACGATCAACAGTTGTAATTACAAATATAATGTTCCTGATTGTCAGATCAATGCAAATAGTTACGTGATAGAAACATGATATATTTCTATTCAATTCTAAAAATATTGTAATAAATGATTATTCAAAAAAATCTTGTTATTCTATAAAACAAAACTAATATTATTACCTGTGGCAGTTTTTTTTTCTTTCAACAGAGCTATATATATATGTATAAACTTTTTATTAATAATACCATGTACAGAACGAAATTAAGAATTAGTAAAATATGAATATTTTTTTTCTAAGCTAGGTTATTAAAATAAAATTTATTTGTAAAACATATATAAACATTTGTTTGTAACATTTATTTGTAAACATATGTAAACATTTAAATATGTAAAACTTATGCAATATTAATCATAAATCTTATTTAATCATTCTGAAGACATTTGTATATTGCGCTTTTAAGCGGAAGTCACTTCAAGCCTGAATTTGATTTGTATAGTTTGTATCCAAAAACATTGAGGTGTAATGCTTCAACTTCCTTTCTACGACGTGCCTACTAGAATGCAGAAGGTGGGTTTTTCGTAGTGCAAGTTCTATAAATTTTTCGTTTTTTAAGCAAAAGAAATGTTCATTTTCACGCCAAGTCAACATGTAATTTTGTTTTCAGAAACAAAAAGAACCAATTCAATCAGTGCAGGTCTTCGGACGCAAAGTGAGTGTTAACTGTCACAAAATGAAAGAGGTTATGTTCCGGCGTGTTCTTCTAAGTGTGTACATTTATATTTACAGAAAAGCGCAACTGCGGTCGCTTATTGCAAACGAGGCCGCGGAAATCTTCGAGTAAATGGGCGTCCGCTAGAATTGGTTGAACCTCGAGTATTACAGTACAAATTACAAGAACCCATTCTGTTGCTCGGCAAAGTAAATATTCAATATGTCAATTTTGTAGAATTTCAAAAATTCGTGGAGCGTTTCAAATGATAAAAAAGGAAACTTTTCAAGTTTCCTCGAAGTTTTCTTATGATGCTCTCTTATTCCGCAAATGATTATTTATGATTATCAAAATAACAGTAAATAAAATACCCATGTGATGCTTTGTATTTACTGCATCATATCTTTATTTAGTTAGCTTTATGTTATATTTCTTGTATAGGAAAAGTTCTCTGGAGTCAATATTAGAGTAAGAGTAAATGGTGGTGGTCACGTAGCCCAAATTTACGCTATCCGACAGGCTATCTCTAAGGCACTGGTTGCGTATTATCAAAAATGTAAGTATTGATGAAAGATTTAACATTAAATATATATAAGATATTATAAACTATATGTGTTCTTCCTTTTTAGATGTTGATGAAGCTAGCAAAAAGGAAGTGAAAGACATTCTTATTCAGTATGATCGTACGCTTCTAGTTGCTGATCCAAGGAGGTGTGAACCAAAGAAATTTGGTGGTCCAGGTGCCAGAGCACGATATCAAAAGTCTTATCGTTGATATCTGCAAATTTCACACTATACTTCATTCATATAATTGAATGAAAAATGTAAAAATGTAAAAAGTTCCTTGCATTTATTTGTATACTTACCTCTTGTTTTGTCAAATATAGCATTTCATTGTAATACAAATTTTTTGCCTTTGAAAGCATAAGGCACACATTATTCAGATTCATGTTTTATGGTCCATCTTTCTTTAACATACTTGCAGATTTCGTTGTAACCAAGCATGCCACTTTCTTGCGTGTAAGAACCAGGTTGCCCAGGACCATTTTTTGAAGAACCTATTGTATTACAGGAGGGATTTGACAAGATAAAGAATCTAATGTAAGCGGGAGAACCAAGAACAAGTTTGTTAGCTTGTGCGCCTTGTTTAAGTCAATATTGAACAGACGACTTCTAAAATGTAAATGTTTCATACACCAAGATCAATAATGTTTTAGCATCAATTTTAATAATGGAGAGCTTTATTTATATATGTACATACACTTTATAAGTTTTTAACAATATTTTATTAAAATTAATTATCTGCTACTTAAATTATTGCAATGAAAGAAGGTAAAATGAAAAGTTATTTTGGATTTAGAATCGTTGGGTTTTTTTGAATTTATTATTTTTGATCAGTGCTTGTTTGCGAATGTATCTCCAATATTGTTTTGTATTTGGATCTAAATCTGATAATTTCAATGGCTCAATTCTGATATTCCATAGCCATTCAGGATATTCAGAATCTGGTTTTAAATTTACATCTTCTCCTTTATAAATGTTTGATCCACATACATAATTCAATAATTTATTGACATCTTCTTCAACTAGTATTATTTTTTCTTGAGCTTTTACTTTTTTTTCTCAACTGAAAGATAAAATAATGTAATAAGAATTAATATTATTTTTTATTAAAATAAATTTTACAACAAGAGGAAACAAATTCTGTAAATTAAAAAATAAGACACGTGACATAACCTGTATTTCAAACAGAAGTACGTATTTCAATTCATATGAGATGAGTTTACTAAAACACAATTTTTACCTGCATAGTTTTTCACTTGTAGCATATATTGTACTGCAATAATATTTTCTGTAATTCTAGGTAATTGTAAAATTGATAGAAGGGACATTGTACTAATAAATATAAATAACAAATTCTAGAGTATTAAATTCCCCAGCCTTGCTTTTCTATAACTTATATATATTGTTTATTGTT